TTTTTTTTTTTTTTTTTTTTTTGAGACAGAGTCTTACTTTGTCACCCTGGGTAGAGTGCTGTGGTGCCACAGTTCACAGCAACCTCAAACTCCTGGGCCCAACTCCTGCCTCAGCCTCCTACATAGTTGGGACTACAGGTGCCCGCCACAATGCCCAGCTATCTTCTGGCTGTAGTTGTCATTGTCGTTTGGCAAGCCTGGGCTGATTTGAGCATGCCAGCTCTGGTGCTGAGCTACAGGTGCCCAGCCTTATTTTGAGATGGAGTCTTGCAATATTGCCCAGGCTGGTCTTGAACTCCTAAGTCAAAAGATTCTCTAGCTGGCTTCCAAGTAACTGGGATTATAGGTGCATCCACTATGCCTGAATCCCAAGTTTTATATCAGTTGTTACTAAACTTATAGAAGAAAGAGGATGTTGAGAAAAATTGAAATAGCTAAGAGGTAAAATTAGCCTCACATTGGGATAACGTATGTTATACTGTAATAGAGGTTTATAGTGAAAAGTATTAAGAGGTAGAGTGATAATTTCAACCATATTTTGAATTTCTTGGTGACATTACTGTAGAGGTCTAGAGCATCACCTTTCAGTATGATAGTCACTGGCCACATGTGTCTCTTTTAAGTTTAATTAAAGTTAAGAAAAATTTAAAATTCAGTCTATCAGCCACCCTAGCACAGTTCAGGCAGTCAGTTGGATGGTGCAGATATGGGACGTTTCTGTCATTAGACAGTATTGTTCTGGAGACTTTTATTAGTTCCTTTATCAATATGTATGAAATTTAAAATGTTTTAAAAAAATTCATGATTCAATTAAAGGGAATAACTTGTTTTGCTACTGGATAGTGTTACAAGAATCTCTTTTTAAATAAATTCTCTTGGATTTGGCCACAGTAGCCGTTTCGTGTTTGTACCTGGTCCGGAGGATCCTGGATTCGGTGCTATCTTACCGAGGTAAGTTTCATTCAGATTTTTGCAACAGTAAAGAAAACTTTGTAGAATCTTAAAATATGTACCATATCACAGAAACTGTTTTTCTGTATAGGCCGCCACTTGCTGAAAGCATCACTAGTGAATTCAGACAGAGGGTACCATTTTCAGTTTTTACAACTAATCCTTGCAGGTAAATATTAGTGTTTTGTGTTATGCGTTTTCCCCTTTTCCTTTAAAATTTAAGTCAATTCTTAAAAATTTGTCTCTGAATTCTGACTGCTATAGAATAAATATAAAAAGGCAAACTTTTTTTTTTTTACGTTTCACAAAACTTTGAAAATACTTTAACTGTATTAAATGATTCACCGTTGGTGCTGCTCACTGTGGTCAGAGGCCACGTGGGATAGCCCATGAGTCAGCCTTGGCTCGCCTCTGGTTTGCCTGTGTACACGCCTTATCCACGGTCCCATGGTTTCAAATATCATCTGTGTACTGACACCTCCTGCATTTATGTGTCCACCTCGGATGGTTTTTCCAGACCCCAGACTCATGTGTGTAGTTGCCTGCTTACCATCTCCTCTTGGATCAAAGTGAACTGAACTTGCCCGGGTACCACACCAAGCTGTTCTGTAGTCTTTCTCATCTGAGTTCATGGAACCTTTATCCTTCCAGTTGTTCAGCCTAAAACCTTTGGGGTTTCTCTCACATGTAATTTGTCAGGAAGTCCTGTGGACTTCAAAATATAGCCAGAATCTGGCCACCTCCCTGTACCTCCACCTCCTTGACCCTGTACCATCTTCTCCAGCCTGGGTACCTGTGATAGCCTCCTAACTGGCCCCTAGTTTCTACCACCTCCCCTCTATAGTTTATTTATTTATTTATTTTTGAGACAGAGTCTCTCTTTGTCACTCTCAGTAGAGTGCGTGGCATCACAGCTCACAGCAACCTCAAACTCTTGGGCTCAAGCAATTCTCTTGCCTCAGCCTCCCGAGTAGTAGGGACTACAGGCACCTGCCACAATGCCTGGCTATTTTTAGACACAGGGTTTTGCTGTTTCTCAGGCTGGTCTTGAACCCATGAGCTCAGGCAGTCCACCACCTTGGCCTCCCAGAGTGCTGGGCCATCCCCAGCCTAGAGTTTATTCTTGACTGGTCCTCTAACATGTCAGACGCATTATGTCTCCCTTCCTGATCTGGAAAGATGGGGCCGTCATGTCATTCAGTGACAGCCATCTCCTTGTACAGATGGTGAAGGCCCCGTACTATCTGGCCCCTCTCGCATGTCTGATTTCCTCTCCTCCTCATTTGCTGCAGCTCCCTCCGCCTCCCTGCTGTTCCTCAAACATGGTGGGCATGCTCCAGCCTGGGGCCCCTGGGGCGGCCGCTCCCTCCACCTGCAGGGTTATTCCTCTGGGTGTCTGCTTGACCAAGTTCCTCCCTCTGTCAGGCTGTGTTCAAGCCACACTATGAGCCCTGCCTGTGCCAAGGTTCCAGACTTCTAGATGCTGTCTTCCCCAAGTGACCCCTGTTGGCCTTTTTCTTTTGCCCATACACTTAAGCATCTGCAACAGACTATGTAATTACGTATTTGTTGTTTATTTTCTTTGCTCCCTTCCTACTAGAATGTAAACTACATGAAGGCCAGGATGGTTTTGTTCTGTTTACTGGCCCCTAGAATAGTGCAGGCACATACTTAGAGCCCACTGGATAACTGCTGAATGAATGGGTGACTAGACAGACTGGTTGAAGTTTGGGAAGTGGGGATGGCTTTGTATTGTAAGACATGTTGCCTTTAAAATTATCTCATTTTTTTCCTGAGGAAGTTCAACTACTCTTTTCATTTCAGAATTCAGTATTGTACACAAGAAATTATTGTCTTTCGTGAAGACTTAGTAAATAAAATGTGCAGAAACTGTGTCCGTTTTCCTAGTAGCAGTTTGCCTATTCCTAATCACGTAAGTACAGTCATCTCTGTAAAACTATCTTACTTGTTACATATGCAGTTTTATTAAGCCACTTAGTAATTTTCCCGTGTGTTACGATGTTTTTTATTCAAAATAATTTGAACATACTTTTTTCAGCAAGTTAATTTTTATTTATTTATTTGAGACAGAGTCTCACTATGTTGCCCTCGGTGGAGTGCTGTGGCGTCAGAGCTGACAGCAACCTCAAACTCTTGGGCTTAAGTGATTCTCTTGCCTCAGTGTCCCAAGTAGCTGGGACTATAGGTACCTGCCACAACACCCGGCCATTTTTGTTGTGGTTGTCATTGTTGTTTTAGCTGGCCCTGGCCAAGTTCAAACCTGCCTACCTTAGTGGATGTGGCTGGCGCCATAACCACTGTGCTATGGGCGCCGAGCCAAGTAAGTTCATTTTTATTAGTAAGTCAGTGTTTCTCACCTTTCTGCTAAAGTATCCCCTGATGGACAGAGGAAATCTCAGAACAAGCAGGACAGTTCCTTGAAGCTTCCTTTTTTGCCTTTAAAATGCTTTCTAAAATATTCATATTTACCATGTTTTATATGCATTTTGCATGGTATGTCCACATCAGAAGGATGCACACTGTGGATCTTGTAGATGTAAGGTTCCCTGTCTACCCTTGTTCAATCTCTGCTTATGTATAGCTCCATCTGAGGAGCGCAGAAATAGACCAGAGGGTGTTTTTATTATTTGTTTTATAACAAAGTTTATGTACACTGAATTTTGATTCTTGGCTTTACTCAAGCTGTGAAACTATTTTTAGGTGAATAGAATTAGCAAATGTGTTTATTATACAGCTATAAGTACAACTGATCCAATATGACTATTTAGGGGAGTCACTTTTATGGTATTTAGTATTAAATGAAAGTGTAATAGATACTTTTGCCTAAAATACAGAAATAATTTCATATTATACCAATGTTTCCCAAAGTTTTGTGATTCAGAGCTTTCCTAATTGTTTCTCAAATTTTCTAAGTCCTTTTGCTGATCAAAATTTAGTTTGCAATTATTCGTTTCTTCACTTACACAAATAAACTGAAGTTTGCTTTGTTTTGTGTTCCTCTGTAGTTTGTAAAGACTATCTTATCCCAAGGACATCTGGCCCCACTGCCTCTGCATGTTAGCCCAGTGTACTGGGCATTCGACTACACTCTAAGGGTGTATCCTGTGCCGGACCTGATTGTCATTGCAGACAAATACGATCCTTTCACTTTGACTAATACTGAATGCCTCTGCATAAACCCTGTAAGAATGTAGTTAACTATGTAGTCCTTACTTTAAGTTTACAATATATACTTATAAAATTATTATTAGAGTAAAAATATACCATTAATGAAATGCTGAATTATTTAGTATACATGGAAAGTTCTCAAACTTAAGTTTTCAGGATACTATGTGACTATAAAGTAATATGACTTGTTATTAAAAAGCAAGCATACCAAAACATGAATCCAAATGAGCATCTTCCCCTTGGAAATAACTTTTTTCTTTTTTTGAGACAGAATCTCACTTTGTCCCTGGTAGAGTGCAGTGGCGTCACAGCTCACAGCAACCTCAAACTCTTGGGCTCAAGCAATTCTCTTGCATCAGCCTACCGAGTAGCTGGGACTACAGGTGCCCGTCACAATGCCTGGCTATTTTTTTTTAAAGCCAGGGTCTCACTCTTGCTCAGGGTGGTCTTGAACTTGTGAGCTCAGGCAATCCACCTGGCTCGGTCTCCCAAAGTGCTAGGATTACAGGCATGAGCCACAGTGCCCAGCCTCCCTTATAAATAACTTATCTTGGGATTCCTTTCTGAGAATTGCTTTTACGGCTTGTATCCCATTCTCTTTAAACATATTGATAGTACTTATTCACTCACCCTTGGTAGAGTGCCGTGGCATCACAGCTCACAGCAACCTCAAACTTGGGCTTAAGCAATTCTCTTGCCCAGCCTCCCAAGTAGCTGGGACTACAGGTGCCAGCTATTTTTTTGTTGTAGTTCTCGTTGTTTGGCAGGCCTGGGCTGGACTCAAACCCGTTAGCTCCAGTGTATGTGGCTGGCACCCTAGCTGCTGAGCTATGGGTGCTGAGCCAAGGAATTTGATTTTTAAAATAGTGATTATTTTATAAAAGTTAGAGTATCTACTTACAGGCATTTTTCTCTCCAAAGGGTTCTTTCCCAAGAAGTGGATTTTCGTTCAAAGTGTTCTATCCTTCCAACAAGACAGTAGAAGACAGGTAAGTGTGTTCACAGAAACAGCAAGAAGGAGCTTTCTTTTGGAGTTAGATTGCTAAAAATCAGTTGTTCTGTCAGAGTGTTTTGTTTTTTTTTTTGAGACAGTCTCAAGCTGTTGCCCTGGGTAGAGTGCTATGGCATCACAGCTCACAGCAGCCTCAAACTCTTGGGCTTAAGCTATTCTCTTGCCTTAGCCTCCCAAGTAGCTGGGACTATAGGCGCCTGCCACAGTGCCCAGCTGTTTTTGGTTGTAGTTGTCATTGTTGTGTGGCAGGCCTAGGCTGGATTCGAACCCACCACCTCTGGTATATGTGGCTGGTGCCCTAGCCACTTGAGCTACAGGTGTCAAGCTGTGAGTTGAGATCTTTAAAAATGTCTCTGGTGGCTCACTGGAACTGTTTAGGCTGAGCTTGTTGTGGTTGTGCTGTTACACAGAATTGCACACACTTGATGGTGTGTTTGTGTTGAAATAGATGAAGAACTATTTTCTGCCAGAAACCTCAGACCAGCTGTGGAGGTGAGCTTGTTTTCTTGCAGGCTGGCACCTGATGGTGAGCTTATTCTTTCTAGGTGTCAGTCTTGCCCCCACTTGGTGGATTCTCAGACCTAGGCAATTTGTCTTAAATCGACAACAAAGCAGTAGTGGGGAGCTTCATGTGAGTTTGGTGATGGTGAGCAGTAGTTGTCATAAGGCAGTCTGAAGAAAGACGGTAAAATAATCACCTGCTGGGCAGTGGTTTTCACGGGGTAAGCAATGGACCACTTGCATCACAATTCTCTGGGGTCCTTGTTAAAAATGTTAAGTTTCAGGATCTTACCCCAGACTCAGCACAGCAAAGAGTTCTCTAGATATAAGAATATGCATTTTTAACACTGCTTCCCTAGGATTCAGGCATCCATAGACATGATTTCTCTATATTTTGAAAAAGCTCCTACCCCTAAGAACGAGTGTCCACATCAAGTAATTACCCCCCAGGTTCTTGTCAGAGAATATAATCTTGAACACACAGTCCAATTATCTTTCTTTTTTTTTGTAATTAATACATTTATTTAAATAAAAATGAAGGTAAGATACATAACAAAAATTTCAAACAATACTTAATAGTATAAATTTAAAAAAGAAAATTATCTCTGCTTCCCAATCCCTGAAGCCAGGATTTTACAGTCATATATAAGTGTATGTGTAAATATATATGTATATATATGTATTTTTGAGACACAGTCATCCTCAGTGGAGTGCTGTGGCATCACAGCAACCTCAAACTCTTGGGCTTAAGCGATTCTCTTGCCTCAGCCTTCCAAGTAGCTGGGACTACAGGCGCCTGCCACAATGCCTGGCTGTTTTTTTGGTTGTAGTTGTCATTGTTGTTTAGCAGGCCCTGTCCAGGGTCAAACTCACCAGCCCTGGTATACATGGCTGGTGCCCTAACCACTGAGCTATGAGCACCGAGCCAACATATGTTTCTTGAAAAAAAAACACATGCATGTGTTCTTCCTGCTCAGTGCTCATAAAGAATGGACATCCATTAATACCATGAGATTTTAAAAATTTCATTCTTGGATTCACTGATTTGACACTCAGTTGATTCTTACTGTACTCCAGGCACTGCTTGGTTCTTGGAATGTAGCCACACACTCTAATAAAGGTCACATGGTGGCCTCTAGTTCCATATACCTAGGACGGGTCAGACTTTACCTGACCTACACAGAGATGCCTTTAGGTGAGGACACATGGTCTTCTTAAGCTTTGCCACTCCTCTTTGTGACCCTAGGGTTAAGTCACATCTGAGGGCGATAAGCCTAAAGCACACTGTCTTGTCCACCTTTAGACTGGCTTTTATGGAACTAATTTGATATAAAACTATACTATGAAAACCAATACTGGAGCTTTCAGTCTATCTCAGGACAGGAGAAATCTGTCTGCCCTAAGCAACTGTTTATCTTAGGAAGACCAAATGCCTATACTTCCCTTGCCTTACCTGTTAGGAAGCATATCTAAATTTGCAGCCCACCTCTATAGCTGCACAGGACTTACTAATGTCAGTGCTGAGGAACAGTCTTAGCCCTGGCTTTATCTTCTTTTGTGACCTGTATTTTCTCCTTATTTGAATTTCCTCAATTACTTCCTGTTATCTTTTTATTACATTTATTTCTGTAAACCATGCTATATTCTTTTTAAATGAGTTGGGATATAATTAAAACACAATGGGAATTTAGCTGACTTATTATGATAGTGGGAGACACTTCAGCTACATTTCTTGTATGTTCCCAGATTGCCATGCGGGTTCTGTGTTCTGTGCACCTTATATAATTTCTATTACTGTCCTTTGTGCACTGTATTAGAAGTCATCATGCACCTGTCCTTCTAAGTTTTTAGCATTGCATCTAGCATAGTACTTGTACTTTATACTGTTCAATGAATTGAAATAGTTGGGTAGTTGATGCTGTTTAAGTTGAAATAGTTGTTTCTCTTTTATTTTCTGTGGCCTTCGGTGCTAAAAAGCCTTGACATAATGTCTAAACTATAGTTTAATACTGGTATCTTGGGTATCTTTTCAGTGGATCAAACAGAACTCATGTATGTTTATGAGAAGAGAAAAATTCAAAACATACTGAAGTAATCTGGTCTTTCTACTGCTGTCTCTTAAACTTTTTGTTAAAATATTTGTGAAATAATATTATGGAATGAATCTTACAAATGTAGGAGATAAGGTTAACTGTATTAACATGTGCTTCCTAATAGTAGTTTTATTTAGAAAACCCCACTGTTGGTGGTGGAGTGGGGGAAATAGACATTCTCACATTGTTGGTCAGAATGAAAAATGTTGGCTCAGAGCCTGTGGCTCAAGTGGCTAAGGTGCCAGCCACATATACCTAAGGTGGCGGGTTCGAATCCAGCCCGGGCGCCAAACAACAACGATTGCAACCAAAACATGGCCGGGCATTATGCTGAGCGCCTGTGGTCCCAGCTACTTGGGGAGGCTGAGGCAGGAAACTCGCTTGAGCCCAGGAGTTAGAGGTTGCTGTGAGCTGTGATGCCACGGCATTCTACCCAGGGGGACAGCTTGAGGCTCTGTCTTAAAAACAAAAACAAACCAAAAAAAACCTCACATTTCCAAAGTGTTTAATTTTATGAGTTATTTTTTCTATTTTCAGCAAACTTCAAGGCTTTTGAGATGCTTGAAGACCATCTGAAAAAACAAAATTCATCAGTTTTCTGCCTGATTCTACATTTTATGTAATTTTGATATTGTTTACAGTAAAATTATGGTAAAAAGTTTTCTAGGAAAAAATTTAAAACTTTATTACACAAATTCACAATAGAAAAAAATAAAATACAAGTATAAAAAGTTTTAACAACCTACAATTCCAATATCAGAACTATTCTGTTAATATTTTGATATATATGCAGATTTTTCCTCTATGCCTATCTTTTTCTATAAAATATTTTGGTTTTTATACTATACCTATTAAACTTTTTTCTTTATTCATTCATACATTCCTAGGAGCCTAATATGTTCTAGCACTGGAGAATAGAGTGTTCAACCAAATAGGAAGCGTTCTAGATTTCATGATACTTACACCTTCAAATGGGGACAGCCCTACCCTAAAACAAACAAGAAAAAACAATATAGGAAACATGTGGAAGTAAAACTGATGAGGGCAATTTTATATGGGGTGTTGGTGGTGGAAGAAGTATGTCACCAGGAGTTACTAAGGTGACTTTTAAATTCCTGAAATTCAAGGGCCTATGCCCAGACTATATATACAGGAGCCAAGAGTGTTCTGACACTAGGGTTACGGGGGAGTTTTAGATGGTGAGCATGGAGACCGTTAGGGATCAAACCTAGTGGACACAAGTACAGAAGTCACATGTGAAGCTGCCTGAAGGTTTTCAGCAAGGAGTGAAAGTGATTTGGTTTTAAAGATCATTAAGGCAATTGTGTTAAGGGATTCAAGAGAATTGCTGAAGAGACCTGGAAGGAAGCTACTGCAGAAGTCTGCTGTGGGGATGGTGGTGGCTCAGAAATGCAAAGAAGACACATTTGGATTGTGTATTAAGAGACAAAAGGACTTGGTAACAGAATGGCAAGGTGAGGCAAAGAGGAATCAGGAGTACCCTTAAACTTTAGGCTTAAATAGCCCAGAGGTAGTATTTACTGAGACTAGGGGAATACACAATTTGAGGTGTGAAATTCAAGGTTTCTATTCTGAATATGTAAATTTGAGATGCCTAACCAACATCCAGGTGGAAAAATCTAGCAGGCAGTGGCTGAGATGCACGATTTTAGAGTCCTTACAAGACTACATAGAAAGGCAAAGTTTTTTTTTTATTAAACAAGTACATTTTAAAATTTCTAAAGTATAAGATAAAGTTCCCTATTGCACCATGCAATGAAACCGCACACCCAATGTTATCAACATCAAGATTGAGAAACAGACCCCCCGAGAAGCTCTGCTGTAATCACAGCACCCCACTTTCCCTCAAAAGGGCAATCACTAGCCTCATTTCTTTCCTTCTTTTTTTTGAGACACACTCTCACTCTGTTGCCCTGGGTAGGGTGCCCTGGCATCATCATAGTTCAAAGCAATGGCAAACTCTCGCGCTTGAGTAATCCTCTTGCCTCAGCCTCCCAAGTAGCTGGGACTACAGGTGCTCACCATGACACCCAGTTAGTTTTTAGTGTTTTCTTTTACCCCCTATTTTTTGTAGAGACTGGTCTCGCTCTTGCTTAGGCTGGTCTCAAACTCCTGAACTCAAGCAATCCAGGAGCCTCCACCTTCCCAAGTGCTAGGATTACAGGTGTGAGCCACTATCCTGATTTCTAACAGTAAGATTTACTTTGCCAAGATCTGTCTGTTCCACAATGAAGCCACACAACGTGTCTTACTATGCATCTGGTTTTGTTCACACATTACGTTAGTGATATTCATCCATACTGTTACTGTATATTTTATGTTTATTGGCCATTGGTATTTGTCTATGAATAGCCTGCCCACATCTCTTGCCCTAAATGAGTTTTTATTGAGTAAATTTTATGGTGGGATATTAACAAATGGAAAGGAGAAAAATTAAGATCGAAATGATAGTTGATAAAATGAAAAAAGGTAGGCAAACTCAGGTTGAATCACAGCTTTTGAATACAGTTTCTAAGGGAGCCTGGTCAGGTAACTTCTCAGGCCCCATCTTCTTGTTTGTAACATGGTGATGAGATTTACCTCAAAGTGGTGTGAGCAATGAATAGGATAACGTATGGAATGCTGGAAATACAATTATTACAATAGTCAGTCTGCAGAAGTAATAGCACCGTGCACAGAAATCTAAAAGAAGTAGAAAGTAGGGTGGTTAGTTGGTTTGAAGCGACGATTTCTGGCATTTCCACTATCCCATTCTCTCGTTCCTACTCCTCCCGGGTGTTGGTGGCGTCACTATGGCAACGAGCACGCGCAGCCTAGGGCTCCATCTCCCTGCAGTTAACGACCTCGACCGCCTCACTCGGCTGCCCAGAGGGTCTGCGGCGCACCCCACCCACCGGGTCTTGGACTGGCCAGGGCAAGGGACAGAAATGGCCAAAGGAGCAGCCTCCTCGCCGCTGGAGGACTTGGATCTGAGCGGTGAAGAGGTCCAGCGGCTCACCTCCGCCTTCCAGGACCCGGAGTTCCGGCAACTGTTCTCTAAGTACGCCGAAGAGCTCAATGACCCCGAGAACCGGCGGCGCTACGAGGCGGACATCACCGCGCTGGAACGGGAGCGTGGGGTGGAAGTGCGGTTCGTGCACCCGGAGCCGGGCCACGTGCTGCGCACCAGCTTGGACGGGGAGCGGCGCTGTTTTGTGAACGTGTGCGGCAACGCGCTGGTGGGCGAGCCCAGCAGCCGGCCAGCCGCCGGGGGAGAGGACGGTGCCGCGCCCGGCCGCCACTGGTCCCTGCCCTACAGCCTGGCGCCCGGCCGCGAGTACGCGGGGCGCGGGGGCACCCGCTACACCGTCTACGACGTGGTCTTCCACCCCGACGCGCTCGCCCTGGCCCGGCGTCACGAGCGCTTCTGCCAGATGCTGGACGCCACGGCCCTGGAGGCGGTCGAGAGGCAGTTCGGCGTGAAGCTGGACCGCAGGAATGCCAAGACCCTGAAGGTCAAGTACAAGGGGACCCCGGAGGCCGCCGTGTTGCGCACGCCCCTGCCCGGGGGCGTCCCGGCCCGGCCCGAGGGGGAGCCGGAGAGCCCGCTCCCGGACTTCCCCTATCCCTACCGGTACCCGGCCCCCGCCGGGAACCCCGCGGCCGCCCGGCCCCCAGAGCCCACACCCACAGAGACGCCGCCGCCGCCCGTCCCCACCGAGCCTCGCTACAGCGTGGTGCAGCGCCACCACGTGGACCTGCAGGACTACCGCTGCTCCCGCGACTCTGTCCCAAGCACCGTGCCCCAAGAGCTGGTGGTCACCATCGAACTGCCTTTGCTGCGCTCGGCCGAGCAGGCAGCGCTGGAGGTGGCGGGAAAGCTGCTGTGCCTCGACTCCAGAAAGCCCGACTACCGGCTGCGCCTGTCGCTGCCGTACCCGGTGGACGACAGCCGCGGCAAAGCACAGTTCAACAAGGCGCGGCGGCAGCTGGTGATCACGCTGCCCGTCGCGCGCCCGGAGCCCCCTGCGGCGCCGGAAGCGTCCGCGGCCCGGCCCGGAACTGACGGCGCGGCCTGTGCTTCCTCTGGCGAGGGCTGGGCGGGGCCGGCGGGGGGTCGCGCCGGGCAGGAAGGCGGGGGTCCGGACCAAGCGGGTACTTCAGACACGGGGGACGCTACCCCGGGCGCCCCCGAGCCGGCCGGGGCTGGAGAGGAGCTGGTCCCCGAGCGGGAGGAGCCGGACTTGGGCCGGCACGCGGTCGCCCGCGGCGGGGAGGCGCCGTCTCCCGGAGCGGAGGGTTCACCCGGTGGCGGCGGCTCCGCCTTATCTTCATCCCGGGGCTTGGACTGGGAGTCTTCTGCCGGAGAGCTCAGTGTGGACACGCGCGTGGCCCGCGAGGGCGCGGGCGGGGAGCGCTCTGCCGCGGCCATGGGTGGTCCCGGGACCGAGGACGGGGAACCTTTGTGTCCTCCTTTGTTGTGTAATCAGGGGGAGGAATCGTTGACTCTACTAATTCAAGTGCCTCGGATCCAGCCCCAAAGTCTTCAAGGAGATTTGAGCCCCCTCCAGTACAAGTTGCGCTTTTCCACCCAAGACTTAGTTTATTCCTTCTTTTTGCAATTTGCTCCGCAAAACAGATTGAGTACCAAAGAACCAGTGATTAGCATTTCTTCAAACAATGCAGTGATCGAACTGGCCAAATCTCCAGAGAGCCATGGACTTTGGAGAGAGTGGTATTATGGTTTAAACAGCGATTCTTTGGAGGTAACAGTTCTTTTTAGAGTCTTAATGTTTGAAATGTTCCATATTACTTTCAAAATTTGCTGTTACAGACACCCTCTTGATTTATCTTAAAACATTTTTCATTGTAACTTTTCGGTAATGACTTGAAATTGATGCACGTGGTGAAAGATGTCAGTGCGTGTTAAACGTATTTTGAAAAAAAGAAATGTACACTCTCCCCTCCTGAGGATGGGTTTCAAATCTTCAGAGTTTCTCCTTAATGCACGTGTTTTTCTGCGGTCCATTGACTTGGAAGGAGACCAGGAATGGATTCTCAGGGATCCGTAGACCACTGGAATTATATGCAAAAACAAATTGAGGGTGACTTCTTGGGAGTAGGGCTGTAACTTCAGCTATATTCTCAAAGAGGTTTGTGACAAATAAGTTTAAGGAGCACTCCGTAATGACCGTCTTTGAAGTAGGTAAGTCACTTTCCCCAAGCTTAGAAAGTTAATAATTTAATTCCAGAGAGGAAAAGTAACTCAACCAGTTCTTACATAGAAAAACAGACCCAAGCGCGAGCGAATGTAAATCCCATGCCTTGGCCACCCTAGGGTGCTGCTTAATTTTAGTGGCTGATTTTGGTGGGGTTGTCCTTTATTGGGTGCTATATCACCTTGAAATTACTGTGTGTCTTTTTGTGTCTGTTTTAATCATGTTTTGAGTCCCTGCTGATATTTAGCACAATGGCTGGCATTTAACAAAGTATTTGTTGAACTGTGCAGCACCTACGTTAGCTGTGCCTTTTTGGGGCAAATACTCTAGAACTGGGCTCAGCTTACCTATTTTACTTAGGATATAATTTGATGAATAATTTAGTATGTCCTGTTGTAGGTCCGCTCTACTCTTTGTTTGAGGCCCTTGAATTTCAGCTTCAACACTCCACTATTTTTGGCAGATATTGAAAAAAACTATTTAAAATTTAAAGTTCTATAAATTTTCTAAACTTATGAGCAACCGGTGGTTTTGATTGAGATTTGTGTTAATGTTACATGGAATTTTTAAAGCTCTTTTAAGATATTCAAGAGTAAAATTCCAAGAAACAACACTAGCTGTGCAGATTACATATTAAAAATTAATTATTTGACCTTGGGACCAAACCTGCCAGAAATTGTCACTTCTCCCTTTTGTTGATCTAGAAATTTGCTAATAATTTAAACATTCATATTTTATGATTAGGGTGTCTGTGAGAATTGGTTAATTCAAAACCCTTCAAAAATGGTGAAGTAAATTTAGGGTAGGTTAAGATTGTTAGAATATAAAATATGAAATTGGATATCTGTTTGCATTGTCAGAAGGTGGAAGTTTAGGAAAGAGCATTTATTTTACTCATGATTTTTTAATAAAAATCAAAACAACTTACAATGTGAGAAGAAAACTTTATGGACCAGCAATTAAGAGAATATTCAAAAATACATATTAATCTGATTTTTCTAGTATGCTAACATTTAAGCAAAGAAGCTAGACCAAAATAGGATTAGGGCTGTGTTTTATATCTTTGAAACCTGAATTAGATTTATCATTACTTCATTAATCATTACAATGGATAAGGCTGATGGAACTATAATGTCCAGTTCTTTATATTGTACTGGACCAGGCTGTAACTATTAAATTTTAAAAAAAAGTGAATAGTGGGATGTATAATATATAATGATTATTATTTGCATTATAGGAAAATAATCATAAAATAAAGAGGCTGTTGGCTCGGCGCCTGTGGCTCAAGCGGCTAGGGCGCCAGCCACATACACCTAAGGTGGCGGGTTTGAATCCCCAGCCTGGGCCTGCCAAACAACAATGATGGCTGCAACCAAGGAATGGACGGGCGTTGTGGCGGGCGCCTGTGGTCCCAGCTACTTGGGAGGCTGGGGCAGGAGACTCACTTGAGCTCAGGAGTTGGAGGTTGCTGTGAGCTGTGATGCCATGGCACTCTACCCAGGGGGATAGCTTGAGGCTCTGTCTAAAAAAAAAAAAAAAAAAGAGGCTGTTTTGTGCCTCTCAAGATCAGAATTGTTACTTTGCAAATAAACAAATGCTACACATATTAAGCCCTAAGTAATATTCATTGGGAGTTTTCTTAGAGCTTCAGAGCCACTAAGTTCAGTAACTTTTGCAGTAAAATCAGTTATTAGAATGAGAAGGCAAGTTTATGCAAAACTTTTGTATCATAATCCTAACCTTTTCCATTATATTTTCCTTGAGTTAATTAAAAATTAAAAGTAAAATATTTGGTGTGTTATTTGCAATGAAGCAAAGATGAATGTCTTTTCTCAGATTCAGGAACCTTGGAAATGCTTTTGATAGGGGATGTTTCTGTGATACGATGATATTCCGGATCTTCAAACAAGAGCAAGGCAAATTATGTTAAATGTAAAATTGTTTGGGTCCCAGGTTTGCTTTTGTTGGATAGGTATCGATAATTTTCTTTCTTTCTTTTTTTTTTTTGGCTAGAGCTGGGTTTGAACCCACCACCTCTGGCATATGGGGCCGGCGCCCTACTCCTTTGAGCCACAGGAGCTGCCCGTTAATTTTATTTCTTTTTGATAAAGAGTCTTCCTCTGTTGCCTAGGCTAGGGTACAGTGGTGTCCTCATAGCTCACTGCATCTTCAAACTCCTGGACACAAGCAGTTTTGCTTCAGCCTCCCTGGTATCTGGGACTGCAGGCACGTACCACCAAGCCCAAAAACTTTTTCTGTGTTTTGTAGGGATGGGGTCTTGCTCTTGCACAGGTTGGTCTTAAACTCCTGACCTCAAGCAGCCTTCCTGTTTCAGCTGCCCAAGTGAGCAACTGCGTGGCATGTGTTTACTATTTTAAATAGTAATATTAATAGGAGAGAACTTGAACTTTGTCTGTCTCTTTGTGGTTGTTTCCCCTATTTGGTCCAAATAATAAGCTGTTATTAATTTTGTAATTATAAAATTTGTTTATATAAAAGTACAAAGGAAAATAGTTTTACTTTGAGCAACAATGAACTGATTTTAAAGTAAGCAGTTTTTAATACAGTTAATATGGTTATTCTTCCCACACCCTACGATATACCTAAATTCACTTTCAGTGAATATGAACAAATTGCTTTGTGTTTGGGATTGAAGTAAGAGTGATTTTGCATTTCCTAATAATAGTTTGGAAATCTTTCCACATCTGCATTTTGAAATTACCTCATTCTAATTACTTACTACATAGTATATTGTTATAATGTTGGAATATGTGATATTTCAGTGTTTAAAAATACACTTCTTTTAAGTAAAACATTATAATTGGATTTTACCTAGCCAAGAGCTATTAGGTCATTAAATATGAAATGTCTGATTTCAGATCAAAAGTTTATTATATCTCAAACAAGCAGTAGCTAGCCAGGGCGGTGGCTCATGCCTGTAATCCTAACACTCTGGGAGGCAAAGGTGGGTGGATTGCCTGAGCTGAGGAGTTTAAGACCAACCTGAGCAAGAGTGAGACTCCGTCTCTACTAAAAATAGAAAAACTGAGGCTAGAGGATCGCTTGAGCCCAAGAATTGGAGGTTGCTGTGAGCTATGATGATGCTACGGTACTACCCAGGGTGACAGTTTGAGATGTGCTGTCTCCAAAAAACAAAAAGAAAAACAACTGTGCTCACTGGTTACACAAAATTTGAATAGATCCAGCCATGTGTGTTTCCTAACTACCTCATTAGAAAGTATTCTTTTTTTTTTTTTTTTGAGACAGAGCCTCAAGCTGTCCCCCTGGGTAGAGTGCCGTGGCATTACAGCTCACAGCAACCTCCAACTCCTGGGCTGAAGCGAGTCTCCTGCCTCCGCCTCCCAAGTAGCTGGGACCACAGGCGCCCGCCACAGCGCCCGGCTATTTTTTGGTTGCAGCCGTCATTGTTGTTTGGCGGGTCCGGGCTGGGGATTCGAACCCGCCACCTTAGGTGTACGGGGCGGGCGCCTTAGCCGGCTGAGCTATAGGCGCCGAGCCATTAGAAAGTATTCTAAAACAGGATTACATTTTATAGCCCCAAAGATGTTATTTTTATGAAATACTAAGAGGGGACAAAACAAGAAAAATGAACAAAAAATATCGTATTATCTGGAAATGAAAACAGGTACCTCAGATTTAATAGACCTAGAAAAAGTGACAAGATTTTTTTTCTTTTGGGCTCTTTTATATATATTTGCATATACTCTTGATAGAATTCTTACTGCTGTGTACAATGGCAAAGTTTCATTTCCCAAGACAGCCCATAGGAATAACATCAAAATACATGTTTTTAAAAGTGTAACCCTGAACAGTGTGAGAACTATTGTGAGCTGGTTTTAGTTACAACTGTGTTACGTGTGATCTGTAAGGCAGAATATTTTTTTCCTTTTTATTTTAGGAAAGGTTGTTTGTCAATGAAGAAAATGTTAATGAGTTTCTTGATGAAGTCCTGAGCTCTCCATTCAAACAAACTATGTCCCTAAGTCCACCATTAATTGAGGTTCTTGGGGTTACTGATAATAAGATTCAAATTACTGCAAAGGTAAGAAAGAAATTTAGTGGATTTTATAGAGGAGTGACTAACAAACTTTAAAGTCTTGATTTCTTAGTGTCAGAACTTTAAACAAAATGTACACAATGGCTGGGCAAAGTGATGTTAAGAATAGACTTTTGTCTATGTATTTATTGTGTGCTAAACACTCATTTAATCCTAAAATAACCCTCCAATGAGAGACAAAGAGAAACTAACATTTAGGAAGTCTGAGTATTAGTGCAAGGACAAACAAGCTTTTTTTGATTCTCAAACCACGGGACTGTGTCATATAATTTGTTCATTCTTTCTAATTGAACCTAAAATTTGGTCCTTTTTTTTGAGACACAGAGTCTTACTTTGTTGCCCTCAGTAGAGTGCTCTGACATCACAGGAACCTCCAGCTCTTGGGCTTAGGCAATTCTCTTGCCTCCCAAGTAGCTAGGACCACAGGTGCCTGCCACAACACCTGGCTATTTCTTGTTGCAGTTTGGCCCAGGCCGGGTTTGAACCTGCCACCCTTGGTATATGGTGCTGGGCCCTACTCACTGAGCCACAGGCGCCACCCAAATTTGGCCATTTTTATAGTCTTCAATATTAGACACGAAAACAATTTAGTAACTAGCACAACTGACACATGAATTGAGGAAAGAGTGGCTTTAAATAATCAGAGAAATTCAAGAAATTAAACATTGCCCTTGTAATTGTTAAAGGGTTTTTTGTAGGCCTCGTTGAAAACCTTGGATTATGTTACTGTGCAGGATATGAGTCATTGAAAGGATCTAAACAGCAAATTAATGCCAGGTTTGCATTGTTAAAAAAACAAATGGCAGGCTCGGCGCCTATAGCTCAACCGGCTAAGGCGCCAGCCA